CAGCCCCAGCTCCTTTCCTGGAGCACAGACTATCCCGGCACCGGACTCTTTGCCTTTCATGACTGAGCTCTTCCCTCGTCACGGCCGCTGGAAAGATGCCTCGCACCCGTTCCCGTTTTACAGATCGGCGTTGAGAGAGGTGCAGCCACTGCTTAGCTTTACCAAGCTAGCAGGCCTTGAACCTGCGTTTAAAGCCCTGTCCCTCTGCTCAAAGCCTGGCCCTTGAAAGGCAGCCTTTCTCTAGATCACAGATTTCACAGGGGTGGGAACTGCGTGATGCTAAGCAGCAACTGTTGCAAAGAGTGAGGGTGCCTGTGAAGAGCTCACAGGGCCCTAATTATCTATGGCAAGAAAAACATCTGTATGGGGAAAGTAATGAAATTAATTCTAAAGTCTAGCAGTTGCATGCATTAATTGACGTTAATTAATGCCAAATTACAAGATACTTCCTATGGAATCGCATCATACACTCACTAGAATTGAATATGGAAAGAGTTCATCATACTTAATGTTATTACAGCAAGCCCCAAGGGGAATAAGAGTGATTGGTCCCTCATTATGAAGTGCAGCCAATTTCTTTCTGTTTCCATTAGAAGGAGAAAGAGAACAAACCAGGAGCACTTTACCAGGGGCAGGCAGCTCAAAACTGTTCATTTCCCCTTCAGCTTGCAAATTTCACTTTGAGCCACTCTAAGCAAGAAATGGTTTTAAGACCTCTACCTGGGGCTTTCCTTGTGTCACCCAGTTGAAGCTTCTGTATTTCTTAGCCCAAGGACAGGCTCATGGCATGTATTGCTCATAGTGCTCCACCTCAATATGTGTCATGTGGAGTAAGATCGAAAAGCAGAGGAATTAGAGATGGTTCTCTAAGTCTTGAGAGACAGATCTCACAAGCCTACCGTGCACCACACCCCCTCCACCCCTGGGCTGAGAGATGCCGACTGGGGGATTTGCATACAGAGTAGTCTCCCTCTCTCACATCACTGCCTGTATGTTACTGTTGACATCTCCTATATATCTTTTATTCATTTTTCCAGTGCAAACATCCATATGTAGGTATCTATATATACAACTTGCCCAGAATCTGGTTGATGCACATGTATTTTGGTAACCTACTTTTAAAAAACTTTTATTTTAGAATAATTTTAGGTAAACAGAAAAGCTACCAAGACAGCAGTACAGCTTTACCTACCTTCTCCTAATGTTAGCATCTTGAACAACCAAGGTCTGTTTTTCAAAACTAAGAAATTAACATTGATACAATATTATTAATTGGTAACCTGTTTTTATTATATGAAAAGTATTAAGCACTTCTGTACATACTCATATACTCTTTAGAAGCATGGTTTTAATCACAAACTGTACATGTTCTGAAGTTTTCAAAAATTATTCCCCCATTTTTGGCCATTCTTTTCTCTTTCTATTATAAACAACACTGATGAATATTGAAATAGCTAAATCTTTGCATAGATCATTAATTATTTCCTTGGGTAGAATTCTCAGAAATGAACGTGAGGTTAAAAGATCTCATTTTCAAGGATCTTGATTCATATTGCCAAATGACCCCACAAAAATATAAATTTACTGGTCTTTTTTTTTTTTTGTATCTAGGTATATGCATTGATACTTAGCTCAAAGCCAAAATATACTTAACAAAAATTGGCCCCCAGTTCACGGGCATTTTTCACACAGCATAGAGTAGTAAAAATAAAAGCCTTAGAGCCACCCAAGTTTGAAACCCATAATGCCATTTCTATAAATCGTGATCTGTTTGAGCTTCATTCTCTTTATCTAAAAAATCAGTTGATATATTATACTTTGTCATACTATGAAGATTAAATGTATGAAATAAAGGTGAACATGCTTCAGAGTACCTGGTACATAGATGGTCAACAAATGTTAGTTTCCCTGTTCTTTTATTTTCTTCCCAAATCCCTTAGATTCAGAATTTCCAAATAGTTGAGTTATAAATATGAAAATCGTGTCTTTATATTTTCCATCTTGTGCTTGTTCAGGAACCTTTGAAAAGGAGGTTAAAGTCTTAAGAAAGAAACTCTTAGACTCCATTACACATAAAACAAGCACTGTGTATTTATCAAGAACTCCTCATTAGGTGGCAATCCCAAGAAATTCTGATTGGAAGTTGTATTTGTAATTTGAAGACCAAGACCTCTTAATCAAGAACTTTTGATTCAGTTTGGTTAATCATTGTTTTTATTCATTATCTCACATAAGAAGCACAGAGAAAGAACAACTCTGGGCTCAGTACAATCAGTAACTCAGCATCATCTGGAAATAGGTCCTTTCCATCTCTTTGCATACTCATTATATAAGCTTAACTGTAAAACTGGCTGCTCTGTGTAAAAAGAAGGCTAACGCAGTCCCAAGCATCCCATTGGACACAGTGTTCTAGAGAGGCAGAAGAGGGTCTTCTGCTACAGCTCCTGGTCCCTCCCCTGCAGACCCTTAAAAGACCTCCCTCTCTTCTCATTTACTATGACAGGGTCTTAATGCCCTTTCCTGAACCAACCAGTGGCAAGGGGAGTAGGAAGACTTTGAATGGGCATAGACCCAGAAGGATTAATCCTTGCATATGAGCACTTGCCAGTCACACAGGAGGAAGGACAAGCCTACAGATCCAGTATTGCCTTTTCCATTAAAGAGCCTGGGAAGAATGGGTATTGGCAGGTCACCAAGGGAACATAACTGATAGAGAAACATAACTGGAGTGCTCAAATTCAGTTTAACTACCCTTTTAAAGGACCTCCTATGTGACCCCAAACTGATCCTATCACTGTGGAAGGTAGCAAAAGAGAAAATAGGAATATTACCATTATTGATAACAACTGAGATCTGTACACATTTGAGTTTAGAAAAACATGTAGCATATACATTAATTAGAGCCAAACTGCAAGAGCGTTGACGTTGGCATCCCCATTTAATGGATGTGGGTGGCAAGACTCAGGAGGATGAAATGATTTCTTTTGAACTATGCAGCTAGTAAGTGATCAAACCAGAACTCAAGCCCGGTCTCCTAGCTTGCCAGTGTCCATTGTTTCTGTGACCCCAGGCTACCTTTAGGAAAAGAGAAGTTGATTAAAAGTTGTAGAAGGTTCTGGTGGAGTGTGAAATTGTGAGGTAAAGATTTTTGTGTGCTGTAGTGCTGGGGAGGGACTGAGTCACAGAAATTTTCTTCAAGGAGAAAGATCTTGAGTTATGCCTGAAAACAAAACTATGATAACTAAAACTAAGAATGTTTGCAAAAGGAGATAATTAAGAGTGAGTAGTGGCTCTTCTTTAGTTTATTTCTGGAGATGGTTTCACCGGGACTAGATGGCTTAAAGTACTTCAGAGCCATCCCATCCACACAGATGGCAGTAGGACGAAGGAATATTGTAGATAAAGGTCTCCTCCACAGTCTCCTAAGAGCTTATCAGCAATTACATCAGTCATTGGTCAGATGGAGCAAACGTGCATGCTGCCCCCTAGTGGTCCTCCTTCTAGAATACAGGTTTACCCAAGTTCCTTAAGTAAAGATGATCCTGGAAATTTTCTTCAGGAAGTCATTAGTGAATCCTTGTATCCAACCCAATAGTATTGCGTACCCCCATTTCATGTAAGTCTTCATCTCCTGATTTCTTTTTAATTTGAAAGAGTGGATTTCTGTGTATATCCCTGATGTCCTAAAAGCAAACTTATCCTTTCATTCAGCATCAAAATAAAAAAGCAAAACTTTATTTTACATTCAAAATATATATTCAATCAAGAAGCACATTCCAGTGAGTATTTACTTATTTCCCAGTATGTGCCTGGAACAGTATTAGAACCTGGGGTACGTTAGTGAACAACCAGAAAAGGCAGTCACTGTCTTCAAGGAGATTATATTCTAATGGAGAAGGACAGAAATAAATAAGGAACAGGTATTTTATATTGTGATAAATTCCATGAAGGGAATTGACAAAATGGCATGTGATCAATAGTAATCATGGAAGACTCTCTGAAGTAATACTTCGCTGAAATCTAGAACTTTCTTTGTGAACAACCTGGAGAGAAGCATTTCAGGCAGAGGGAATACAAATGAAAAGTCTCTTACATGGGTAGAAAGTTTGGCCACATTTCCGAACATAAAGGAGGCCAAATGAGAAGAATCACAGAGAGAAAAAGAGATTAGCATGTGGAGAAATTGGAGTGGTGGGTCCTAGAGGGTTTGAATTTATTTTAAATACAATGAGGCAAAAGGAGTTTTAAGTAAGGAAGCTACATCTGATCAGTAGACAGGGCAGAATAGTTGTAGTCTAAAAACCAAGACAACCTCTCTGGTACAGTGTACTTCCAGCAAAAAATATCAAATCCATGTAAAAGTTATTATCACTGATAGGTTTCCCATCTGCTGGGAGAGGCAGAAGAGGGTCTTCTGCTGCAGCAGAAGTCTCAGGTGGGATTAGTTTACTTTTCTGTAAAATGAGAGCAGAGCTTTGGACTCAGGAATCTCCCCTCTATTCTGTTTCCCTTCTAATTCTTAGGAGAAGAAAAACCTTTTTCTTGATATAGAATCTTCCTGTTTATAACAGTGCACTTCTTGCATGAGATGACTGGTGATTGCGTGTATGACCATGTTTCCCTGCCTGTTGGTCAAAGGTCAAAGTGTGGAGAACAAAACAAAACAAAAAATACCCAACAAAATCACTAATATTAATGGCAGTTTTTAAAAATGTTTTCATTTAGGTTTGGGAGGGGAGAATTAATTAATGAGAATTTAGTATTCCAGGCTGGCAAGATTTGGTGGAGGCACCGGGGTGTAGTGGTGATGGTGTTGCTAGAAAGTGAGTAAAATAATAATGATACTGCTTTTAACAATAATAATTGGATCAATAATGCAGTTAAAGAATGTGAGGTTTGTTTAAAGAATTGGAGATAGCAAGGGAAATGGAAAATGTCCACTCTGAGTCCAATACTCTGTGTGTATACATACCCTGTACCCATTTTTTTTTTTTTTTCAGATTCACAGTACCTAACTTGCCGAATGCAGAACTGCACAGAGGCCAACAGAAATAAACCTTTCCCAGGCTACATTGACCCAGACTCTTTGATTGTCCAGGATGATTACGTGTTTGTTCAGGTATGAAAGATCCACTTCTGCTGATTGTCTCAGACATTTCTCTTTCCTGCTTCTGTCCTAATGCAGCCTCCTTAGCCTGCTTACATTCCCTTAAGAGTAAAAAAGGAAAGAAAAAAAAAATCATTCTCTTTTCGACAAAGGGAGCATTACCAAGTGTTGAAGCTTCTATGCTAACAGAATATTAATTAACTCCTTTGGGCATTGTCTGGAGGACCTTATCAATATGGGATCATGGAGGTCAAGGTTGTCTTAGAATGATGCACACTTCTATTCACCCCCCTCCTCTGCCTTCATGGGACTGAGCGGATATGTCAGTCTCTTCCTATCAGAACAGTCAGCCAATCAGCCTGTTCCCAAATATTCACCTTAAAAATAGAGAAACAGATGGGAGCAGGAAGCTGTGGGGTAGCTGGAGGTGGTGGGAGGCAGGGGTGAGGTGGGAGAGTAATCAGCCATTATTGTCAGGCTCTGACTGTGATTGGGATCAGAATTAGATGAGATGAGATGTGCTCAGCTGGGTTTTTCACCCCTGAAGACAGTGGCAAACCTTTGAGGTTGAATGGTTAGAAGAGACAGGGAGCAAGTATACTTTGCTTCTTTTCAGCATTTAAGGAAAATTCTAGGCTTGTTTAGATAATGCATCAGTTATTAGTTAATTTTGGACAGACCTCGCTTATTGCTTCCCGTACTAAGAGTGGCAAAAGTACAATTGCTAAATAGTTTATATCTGTGTAGTTTATATGTTTATATATTAAATATATATTTATATATATTTACTTATTTATTTATACATACATACTATATATACATATACACACAATTTCACTATGATTGAGACACATTCTAAACACTGTTTATGTGTTTGGACAAGAAATCATAATTAAGAATATTCAATCCCATGTTTTGAGGAAGCAAATGTTCAAAATGCCCAACATCAGCCCATGTACTCTTAAAATGTTTCACAGATGACCACACACACACACACACACACACACACACACACACACACACATCAGGTTTCCTTAGGGAAATGAGTAATGAGTACTCTGATAACTTCAACATCAAATTATCAAGTGATATTAAAATGGTTACACGTATGGGTTCTATCTATAATTCATTTCTCTATCACCGTTTCTTCCAGCAACTTTTTCTGTTTTCTAATAATGGTTTATAATCCACATACGTAACTTACAAATGGGAATCCCTTCTGCATTTAGAGTGTCATATATTTTCTACCCATGCCACCGTGAACATGATCCTACAGCCCGTCACGAGGACTACGAGGTGATCTGGCTCCATAATGGAGAAATGATAACTTCTGGTCACTTTTTTATGTGTCTGGGGGTGTTCCCCCAGAGCATGTGTTGACACAGTCTGAGCATGCACCCTCTAGCTGGTATCCCAACTCTGGATATTTATATGAATTAAGAGCAGCTAGGGGCGCCTGGGTGGCTCAGATGGTTAAGCGTCTGCCTTTGGCTCGGGTCATGATCCCAGAGTCCTGGGATCGAGCCCCGCATCAGGCTCCTGGCTCAGCAGGGAGCCTGCTTTTCCCTCTGCCTCTGCTTCTCCCACTGCTCATGCTCTCTCTCTATATATATATATCTGTGTCTCAAATGAATAAATAAAATCTTAAAAAAAAAAAAAAAAGAGCAGCTAAGCCAAGTTACAGAAACAGGGAGTAGATGGTGGTTGCCAGGGGTTAGGAGGTGGGGAGATGGGAGTCAAAGGGTACACATTTCCAGCTATTAAATGAGTAACTTCTGTGGATCTAATGTACATACAGCATAGTGACTATAATCAACAACACTGTAATATATACTTGACAGTTGTTAAGACAGTAGATTTTTAAAGATATCACTGCACGCAAAATATCATAATTAAGTGAGGGGACAGAGGTGTGAACTAACCTTATGGCGGTAATCATTTTGCAGTATACACATGCATCAAACCATCAGGTACGTCTTAAACTCACATACGTTATATGTGAATAATATCTCAATAAAGCTGAAAAACAAGAGTGGCCACAGAGGAGAGAGATGGTCAGTGGAGCCCGGGACACTGCACGGGATAGTGCTCATGCTGAGGAGACCGCACCCCTTCTTGCCCTCCCTGGCACCCACGGGGTTCATGGGGCTGTGTGTGCCAGACAGACGTGGAGGAGGTCGCTCACAGTTCTCTTCTGGGAGATAGAGATCTGTAGTGATTTTGGACCACGATGCTGGCCGGCTTCCTGTCTACTGTGTCAGCAGCACTGCTGGACCTGAGACGTACTCAGAGGCATCCATGTGACATCAGCAAATGGAATTCAGTGCTCAGAGGTGAGGGGTTCCTGCTCTGGCACTGTCTGACCTGGGCCATTTCCTTCCGGTATGGCTCGGGGACCTGTTTGCACGCCCATAGTCGGGCTAGACAGCTGGCGACTGCTGATGGACATGAAGCTGATCTACTCTGGGGCTTGTATCATTAAAAAAAAAGAAGAAGAAGAAAAGAAAGAAACTGAAAATGTATCCTGGCTTCTGAGCCACAGTGCAAATTGAAGAATTATGTTTTCATGCAGTGGGTTTAGCTTGCGCCTCAGACCAACTCACATACACTGTATGAGTTGTTTTTGAACGGAACTCTAGTTCTTCACACTTGTCCACAATAGTCATTCACACTGCTGGGTTGGCAGCTAGCCCCTACCATTTGAGGCTGTTTCTCTATGGCCTGTAACTGTTATAATAGCTCCTCTTACCTTTGTGTTTGTGATCCAGCTGACATCGGGAGGACGGCCACATTACTACGTGTCCTACCGGAGGAATGCCTTTGCCCAAATGAAGCTGCCCAAATATGCTTTGCCCAAGGTATGACCTGAATGGATTTCTTCATTTCAGTATTTTTCCAGTTCCCATATTCTCGCCTTCACCCCTTTCCCAAGGACCCTCATATTCATTTATCTCTTCTCATCCCCCCATGAACGTTTTTCAACTTCTCTCTCTCTCTAATTCTTGCTATAGGAACATCTGAATAGATTGTCAACTGATTTGCTTTTGTTTTTCAGTAATAAAGATTTTCAAGCAGTATGTATGGGTATTCTAGAAAGACAGAAAATAGGCTTTGGATACACGTTATATCAGTACAACAGGTGTGATACGTTTCTATCCCATTTTATTGTTAATTATTGAGAGGTGGTGTATCTAGATGACACCCAGCCTTTGCTTTGTCTCTCGATGGAACTTATGAGACTGGTTCTAGAGTTCTGAGGCACAGCTAATTTTTTGGACTTCCCCAAAGACATACTCCTTTGAAAATAATGACAGACAAAAGTTAAAGACCCTCTCAACTGCTGACATCCAGAAACACTGAACAACTGTGTTAATATGGAGCACCACCTAGTGGAGGACAAACTGACTTGGGAGCTCAAAGTTATGTGGATTTGTGGTCTGAAATAGTTAATGTATTGTGTCTTGATCTTAGAGCAAGGGAGGTATGTATGGCTGTAGGAGGGGACAGTGCAGGTTTAAATGTAGTTGTAGCTCAGCTTTGCAACCTTTAGGCTGGACAAAGAACATAGGGAACTTTTTTTGATTGAGTGTTCATGACTCCTTATCTTGTGTTTTTATCCATGACTTTGTAGTATGCTGTCCTGGACCAACACCAGCTAGCTGCCCGGAAATCATGGGATAGCACAAGGACATCACAGGTCTCCTCTTCCAGGAGAGCCAGTGGTAGCCAGTTGCTCTGGCCTCTACAGGCAGAATTCTCCTTCTTGGCCATCACTCTGCCCCTAAGCCTAGCAGGATAGTAAGGTGGGCTGAGACATTGGCCCATTCAAGATAAGTACATACATTAAATTGCACTGTTGACTCCAGGGAACAATATCCATGTTAGTAGTTCTTATTTCCAGCTGCTAAGAGATTAATGACAGTGGTAATTGCCCAGAACTATATGTCTGTGACTTATACACTTAAATGCTCCCTGCTCTTGATTCAGCTTAAAGTGTTTTCAAAAAGACAAGCACTTACAACTTTGGACTTGTGCCTCAGATGAAAATCGGGTAAAGTCCATATGTAAAATTAAGTCTGACTGTTGTTAAAATTACACTGGATAATCTTTTAGGAAGGTCCATGAGGGATATGATCATGCCTCCTCAGTAAGTCCAACAGAGCCATTTTGTTTTGTTTTTTTTTTTTCTTTCTCCTTGAGTGCTGAAATAAATTGCTATTTCTTTGATTGGTCAGCAAATGCAGTAATTTAGCTTGCAAGATTTACACCTTTAAAGATAAGAATTAAAGTCAGTGCAGGGAGATGCTCTCCCTCAAGAGGCATGTGGGAATTGAGACCAAATCAGGAAGCAGCAGATATGAGTCACTCCTCTCGTGTTATCTCCTGGGAATATACTCTTTGTGTGGAGTAAGTCCCAGCCAAACCAAAAGCTGTTTGCAGCCCAAGTGAGGCAAGCACTCAAGTCTCCTGAGCTCCCAAATTGGCATCCTTTGGATTATACTTTTCTTCTCTTGAAATAAATTAATAGCTTACTATTAGAAGATAGCCAATCCCCCACAAATTTTGATATACTGGAGGACCATCAAAAGAAAATGTCCTGTGGACCTAAGGAGCCCCAGGAATGGTCATTTAAAACCAAAGAACCATCTTTGGATCTATTGCTGGAGTGTTAGGAAACACATCCTTTGCGTTGCTTGTTCATAGCCATCACACGGATCACTGTTGACACTTGCTCCCAGTGACATCCATCCATTCTGGAAGGAAAAGTGATACTTTTACCCTGAATCAGCTGTCTGTCCCCCCCCCCTTGCTATCCCAGATGAGCATGCTCCATTACTAGCCTCATCCGAGGTATGAGGGTAGAACGCCATGATTAATTTCTCTCATCCCTGGAAAAATAGGAGCCAGCACAGCAAATGAACATATTATGTGGTCCAAACAGGTGTTTATTATTTAAGGCAATGAGACGTCTCATTACAATCCCATTACACCTTCAAAGAATAGCCCCAGCTTGGGTGGAGCGATCTGCCAGAAAGGCGCCTGTATTTCACGGCCTTCTATCAAAGCCAGGGCTGCCTTGGCTGAAAAGGAACAAAGCTTTATGCCCACCAAAGGAATCGAGACAAACCAGCACTTTCATGATCAAATTTTCTGTAATCATCCACTGCATTGTATCAGCTCTTGAAAGACCATGGTTATCCTGAGCTGTGTTAAAAAAATAATAATAATAACATAATGGTAACACTGACGGGAGAGGGAGACAGGGAGACTTTAATGTTGCTGCCGCTATTAAAAGCATGGGCCCTCCCCCCAGCCCAGGCTGGGAGACATGGTGACAGTTTCCTTGCCTTAACTTATGTGCAGCTCATTCTGAGCTACTCAAGGTAGATGAATGAGGCAATACATATGAAAGTGCTTTGAGCATTTTGGAGGACAGATACTCTATAAAAGCAAGGTAATATTATTATCAGAATGGATCTAGTTGTCTCTGTGGTGGGAGATCGATGGGAACAGGGGCGTGGGTGGTGCAGAGGTTGGTTGGCAGCAGAAGGCCCGGATTCCAGACCTGCATCTGCCACTAACCTGCTTTGAAGCCTTCAACTGGCTTACCAATTTCACTTTCTCTGTGTTTTGTTTGTTTGTGCTTTTGTTTCGTTTTGTTTTTCCATTTTTAAAATAAAATAAATGTTACTCTGAATAAAATATCCTTAGAGATGCTTCACGAAAATTTGGCTCCATGATCAGATAAGCTTAAGAAAAAAATAAACTCCTTTCTATGCCCCTTGCCTCAAGAGTAATGGTAGGTCACTGGTGTCAAAAGCTCTAGGATGGGGGTGCCTGGGTGGCTCAGCTGTTAAGCGTCTGCCTGCGGCTCAGGTCATGATCTCAGGGTCCTGGGATCGAGCCCCGCATCGGGCTCCCTGCTCGGCAGGGAGTCTGCCGCTCCCGCTCCCTCTGCTACTCTCTCTCTCTGTCAAGTGAATAGATAAAATATTAAAAAAAAAAAAAAAAAAAGCTCTAGGATGTCCTGTGAGCAAGAAAACTCTATAACTCAGCATTAATCAAAACATTTTATAAAGGGATCCATTAAAAAAGAAAGTCTATTAGAACCCATCAATGCTGATGTCCTATGGAACAGATTTTGGGAAACACTCTAGTAGAAGACCTCAAAGGTCACTTCTTGTTCTAAAATTTTGTGTCTCAGTAAAAGTATTGAGCATAAAGTGCCACTTTATGTAGAAAGAGTGTATTTTCCTGAAAGAGGAGAATGTAGGCAAGAAGAGAAAAGAAAGATGACATTTAAATATGCCAGATCTTTCAATTAAGATATCTGAGACCAACATTTTTTAAGTCTCTTCAGTGTCATTGGATTATATGGAGAGAGAGAGAGAGATTGCGATCTGATCTTGGCCCTTATCTAGAGATGGCCTTTTGAATCTGTTACTGTTACTTGACTAGTTCTCTAGGTGACCTTGAAGCATTGTTTAGTTCCGAATCTATAAAATAAAAATTTGCATGAGTTGGGATAATATAGCTGATGTATCTAGCCCCTAGCATTTATTAACGAGATATCTGTGATGGCCCGGACTTCAGAGGTTCACCAGTGCACAGATTCACTCCAAAGGCACAGAGGTGGGCAATAGCTACGTGGGGGCCAGATCTGTGGTTCAATATTTCGAATTGGATTCAGGGAAGATGCTGCATCCTGCTTACTAGTGGATTGGGAGCAGTTATGTGAGGATTCCAAATGGCAGAATAAATATTTGGGTCTTTGTCTTTCAGGAAGTGGGGAGCCATAGAGAGCTTGGCCCTCAGTGGTTGAATGGCCCTTGGGCTAATTTCCATAGCTAATCCCCTCCATTACAAAGAAGCAAAATACTTGGCATGAACCACTTTTTATTAAGTATACTAGTTAGCCCGCCAACATTTGCAGTGAATAGAAAAGCCAAATCAACCTTGCTTCATCAACAAAGGGGGTTTAAGGGCTTGCATAATTGAGAATAGCTAGCATGTATGGAACAGATGCTATGTGCCAGGCACTATTCTCAGTGCTTACCACTTAGTAACTGATTTAATCCTCATAACTCCGTGGAGGGCACACTAATATCTCTGTTTTGCAGGTAGGAATTCTCAGACACAGAGTTTAGTTCACACAGCTAAGTTATAGAGGGAGGATCTGAACTCAAGTAGCTTTACTTCAAAGTCCATTCTTTTAACCATTTTGTTCTACTGTTCTCTCTAACTGAAAGGTTTATAGGTGGGGCAGGCTTCTTAGCTGTCCACATTCAAAGGCTCAAAGACTTTCACAGAATGTGGCCTATCTCTCTTCCTTTTGAGCCTATTTTCTTCAGGACTGGCTTCATCCCCTGCTTCCCCTCCAAGATATGCCTTCATCAGATCTAGACTTTTTTTTTTTTTTTTTTTTTTTTTTTTTTTTTTACTTTCTGATAATACCAGTGTCATTGTAGAATTGTTTCTTATTGACTTCGTGTTGCATACCCATCACTGATCCAACCACTGTGGTCAGGGACATTGAATAATCTGAATGCTAAGCCAGTAAGCTCTTTTCTGGTGTTGAGGGTAGCAAAACGTAGCAAAGACTAAGTACAGGAAGGAAATTTGTCTGAGAGTAATAAGGGTGTTTTTCAAAGAACATTAACTACAATTATCAGAAGAAATGGAATAGACATTTGACTGATACAAACAATGGCCAACTTCCATACCAAACATAAGTTTGCATTATTGATTCACACTGAATTAATGGGAAGGATTCATTTTTGGCCTCCCACTCTGTATTCTTTATATAAAAGCATTACCAAACTCTAGAGCATGGCATGTGAGACCCAAGTAGGGGTGAGGAATATGAAACTCTGTGGATGAAGACTTCTTCCTTCTGGGATCATCGGAGTTCACTGTGATCATGGTAAAGGAGGGAGAGACTTGTTCCTGTATGTTTAGAGCAAGGTCCAAGCTGAATTGCTGATCGTTTGGTTGAGAGAACATGGGCATATATTATAAGGAGAAATGTAGGTTAGAAGTTAGGTAGAACTTTCTAGCACTGAAATAATTGCCGGAGAAGATTGTAAGTTCCCCTGAAGCTTTTCAAGGATGGAGAATGATCCATCTGGGAAGATTTGAGTACTAAGCTACACAAAAGCCAAGAATCTTCCCATACTGTTCTTCAGTCTTTATGCTTATTTTTAATTCTGTTTTTGTTTTGTTTTGATTTTTGGTTTTTGAAAGTTACACCAGTGTCTGCTGCCTTGAGTAAAGGCAGTAGGCAGCTGCCAAGAGCTCATGCACAGAAGACGGCAAGCCTTGGTCTGAGACAGCAAGCCTTGGTCTGTGTCAGCCTCCCCTGAACATCTACTTCTCTGGAGTTCTGAATGGGGAAGAAAGGGTTTGGAATTCCCATCCCAGGGACATGTGCTCACTGCTTCCACATTACCTTTGCCTTGGACTACCAGAGTCTGAAAGGAGGCCTCTTTTTTCCTCTCTCACTTAAGTTTCCCTGCTGAACTTCTCAGAGTAAAGGTTTAGATAAGCCACTTAGTCCTTGAACACTCACTGATGTGAAGATGAGTGCTTTGGGGTGATTCTCAGGTGAATGTTTTCCTCAGGGGCTTCTGGGAGTTGCTGAGCCTTAGGGAATGTTTCTCAAACTTTCATGTGCATATAAATCACTCAGATTTTATTTACATACAGATTTTTGATTCAGTAAGTGAGGCCTGAGATTCAGTGTATCTAACAAGCTCACAGGTGATGCCCATGCTGGTGGCCCATGGACCACTCTGAGAGAAGCAGGACTTACCTATTTTCTCTCTGTCTCTCCAACTTTTCCTCATATTTGCCCCACATAAGCCTTCTGAACACATACCATGTTTGTGCCTGGCCAAGTATATCAGGATGACTGATTCTCCAAAGTTATACATATTTGAGAAAGTATTCTTCAATTATCTAATGAGGTAATTAAATTATAAGTGAGCTACCAGGCATCTCTCTGCCCAATTTTCTCATGACCTTACTGCCTAACCCCACAAATGACAAAGGGAATGATTAACATTTACCTAATTAATTATTATTCATGAATATACAAAAGGAAAATTTTTATCTTCCATGACAGTGCCTAAGAGCCTATTCTGGTATTCTTTATGAGATTCCACTCTCTTTGGACACATGCCATGTTAACATATGAAGCTCTTCATCCTTTTCACTTCTCTGTGTCTTTCTTCAGGACATGCATGTCATCAGCACAGATGAGAATCAAGTGTTTGCAGCGGTTCAAGAATGGAACCAAAATGACACCTACAACCTCTATATCTCAGACACCCGTGGGGTCTATTTCACACTGGCCTTGGAGAATGTCCAGAGCAACAGAGGTCCTGAGGGCAACATCATGATCGACCTCTATGAGGTATGTCACAAGGCATGTGTAATCCTGAGCCCCTGCAGTGCCTGGGCTGGCAGTTAGTAAGGGCCCACCATTGGCTGTCGCCTCCATCATTTTAATTCCTAGTTCCTTATATGGCCTCATTTCATTTGGGAGAGGGGAGGATTTGTAGAACATTTTTATTGGTTAATTTGCATTCCACACAACCTCTGGGAGGAATCCTTTCTTGATGAAGTCCACAGTCCATGAAGTCTCCGGGGACCTGGAGAGAGTGTCTGGGGAAGCAGTCAAACAATTGAAAGGTTTGAACAAGGGTGATCCTAGTGTGAAATTTGAAAATAATCTTGAAGGGCAAACAGGGTGTCAGAGTTTGAGCAAAGGGGCAGTGGGCATCCTCCTTTCCCCTCTGAAGAAGGAACAGGGTGGCGGGAAGGGGCGGGGGAGAAGATACTCCCATTGGACCCGAGTACCTTTCTAAACTGGTAACTTCCACTGGCTAATTGTGGGCCAGTGAGTGAGACAGAAGTGATAGGTCTTTCTCTCCTAAATGGGAAGGGGGGAGGCAGAGACAAAAAAACAAAGTTTACCATATTTCCCTAAACAGCTATGGCCCTTTGTTTCTCAAAATGACCAGGATACAAAATAAAACCAAATATGCTAGATTGCTTAGCTTTCATAACAAATACCAACACTTGAATGCCATTTAAAGCATGGCTAGGTAGAAAGCAAGCTGCTATTTGGGGATGGATTTTAGCCATTTGTCAGTCTTATCTTGTACCATAAAGGATTTAAAATGGGTTATAATGAGCCATTACAAAAAGTATTCAGAATTTGGGAAGTGCACTCATTTACCTATATCCTATCTGAAAAAAAAATCTGATTCAAATATGTGCAATCATGATGATGCTATCTTTTGGTTGAGTATAAGTTCATAGAGTCAAGAGGTTGTTTATATAATGAGAGGCAAGGGAATGATATCTAGTATATTAAAGAAAGAAACCAATTTCATTTAACAAATTTAAACCTATCATTGTGATTCCTTTCAATGCTGTCTACCCATGCCCCTTCTCCTTTAGCAGCTCTTGGGGATTTTCTTCTAGTGTCTAAACTTTTCTGTATGTATAAAGTCATGTTAACAAACTTACATGCCCCATTCAGAGCCCAAACTAGCGTGAGACATAGTTTGTGTGCGTATATTTAGAAAAATACACCATAGACTTTTTTACACATTCACAAAGTTTTCCACTATTTCCTGCCTATGTTCCAGATAAATATAGTAGTATCATGTATCTCAGCCTCAAACTGAACATGTATTCTGGAAAACATTTACATATTCTGGTGATTTAGTTTCAAATTCATGTTGGATAAAATTGTGATTTAAAGTATACATTTTGGAGTCAGGATGTCTGGATTTATATCCCAGCTACACCACATGTAGTCTTCTAGAGACAAAACCAAGAACTTCCAAGCCTCAGTTTCCTTGTTTAAAATATGGAGCTATATATACATGGTACCTACTTGATAGAATTTCTGAGGATTACTTAAGTTAATCTTCTTACTGTATGTACTATGAACAGTGCCAAGAATGCATCAATGTTCAACAAATTATAGATAGCATAATTAATATTATATTCCAATGAAGTTAAGCCCCCATACAATGTTCTGTTCTTATAGTCTTAAAATCTACCCACATTTTTTAAATATCTAACACACTTCCACACTTTTGGATCTTTGTTTCTTCCCATATTGCACTTAGCATGGCCATAGGATGTTGCTTAATGCCAACTAGTCATCTTCTTATAAACAAGTGTAAATTACCACATTTCTTTCCTCATTTGTAAATGTCGTGCAAACATTTAAATTGTTAGTGTGTTTTGTTGAAATGCCATGCATTTTCATGGCTGATTCCAGCACTTACAATGGAAATATTTGCTTCAAGAGTCTGATAAGAAGTCAAAGCAGCTGCCCCAGATCAATCACCTGGTTCGCTTCCCTGGCCTTGACTCTGTCCTTGTTCTCCCAAAAACATTTTCTCATTTTCAGGTTGCATTTTTCCCTTTTTGATTAACGCCTCCCCTCTTTTCAAGTCATTGTGAAAGTGTTTTTTCTGGGATAAATTTTGTTTTCTGCCAAAACAGAGACCATTCTAATTGGTCCCTTGATGATGACAAAAGATGAAAGATTTGGACAGCGGCAGCTTTGCAGTGTCCCGTTATTTACACCTGTTTCCATGAATGGTTTTCTGAATTCAGATATTGCTAACAGGTATGGAATGAGAAGAGGAAACAGGGTAACTTCTGGACATGGCAAATCACTTCTTGATTAATCCTTGTGTTTCCCTTTTGTGTCTCTCTTGCAGTTGACTGTCCGTAGGACAACTGCTTGCTCTTATCATCATCATTGTAAGCAGTGATGTGACTGCATTATGTAAAGGTGTTCTGCATCCCGGGGCCTGGGAAGAAGAGTCTTTGGTTTTATTAGCCTGACAGTTTGCAGCAACTTGTATTGAAATTGATTTGATCAGAACGGCGGTGCCGTATCTGCTGATTACCTAGATAGAAAGAATATTGGCTGACATGGAACCTGGCACAAATGCTCCTTAAATCTGATTGTTCTGGCTAGCAGGAAGCTGAAAGCCATCCAGCATGAATCTCCCAGTAGAATTGCAATGAATGATGAGTGCTTAGAGATAAATGAAAAGTAAGAAAATCCATAAATGAATTAATGAGGAGCATAGATGAGCAACATATGAGGTAGGGGTGACAAAGATAGAATATATGGAGTGCACGTCTGCTCACATTTGGGGGTGACTGAGGAGGATGGCATGAGTTCTTTGCTTGTATGCTTCTGCATGCCAACGACCTGCCATTCCTGTGTGTTCTTTAAGCTTTTCAGCAGAGGCAAACTGTGCAATGTATAACGGTATGAGTCTGTGTTTCAAGGAGATGTATTGTTGATGAGTCTTTGTGAAGCATATTTCTCATTAAATTCAATCACTTTGTTCACATACACACATTGAAACTTTACAACAAATGTGGCTCTCTCTGCCCTAGAGGTACATGTATGCATGTGATTTTGGGGACAGAGTGTTGGATGACATCTTACATGGTTTAATTATTCAAATACCAGAATTTTCCTTCAGAGTCAGTTGACTACTGAACAGGAACCACATTCAAAAGATTCAAGAAATATTAGGCAGGAAAGTTGGCCACAGAGCAAAAATGCTGGATAGTGATTTTTGTTGATGCAAGTTCATAATAACAACAGATAATATTTTGGGTGCCAGTATGTGCCAGGCACTGTGTAAAGAACTTTCCATAATTATCTCATTCAATCCATGTATTAACTTTATGATGCTAGGACTATAATTACTTCCACTTTAAACATAAGTAAATGGAGGCAGAAAATGCTATCATTTTTGCAAGATTACAGTGCTAGTTGCGGCAGAATTAGGATCTGAATCCTAGAGTATGTAAACTCTGAAGAACAAACTATTTGTGTCTCTCGAAAGATTTGGGCTTGTATTTGATTGTGGCCCAGTAATAGCCCTTAGACTGGAGGTCATTGAAGGGTAGAATAAATAGTATTAGACTTTACCTAGAAGTAGAAGAAACCAGGCAAGAAAAATAAAACAGTCTTGAAAAAGCCAACATAAACAGAATCCACAAATGATAGCTCTGGACCTATTCCACCTTCTGACCCAAGTCCTGAGTCTGCAGTTAATAGCTCAATTCAGGCAGTACTGTCATTATGCATCCCAATTTCGTCTGGTGGATGTGTTTCCATAAGAGAAGCCCAGGAACAAGCATCCTAAAATTCTGTCATTCCTGAAAGCACAAATGCTCCAGCGGCATCACGTGGGATGGGTAACAGAAGATGGTGCCTGATGGTGGCCAGAGCAAAGGAGACATGATGAGTGTGTCTGAGACGTGTGATTCCTAGTGTTTTCGTCTGGTGTGGTTGATGAGAGGGGGTCTGACAGCTTTGGACAATATCCTCCCCCCTCTGGGAATAGAGTATCAATTAATGACGATGAAGAGCACTTTGGCTTAATGGACAATGACAGTTCACCCCAGCCAAGTAGAAAGGATTGTGTTGGGAGTGAAGCCACCTGGCTGGCACATTCGGAATGCACAGAATGTGCGCACACATGAGTGAGCACAGTGGGCATCATGGAAGACATAACCAAGGAGCAGTGCATGTTTGGTTACACACATCGTGTCTTCTGCACATGATGAGTGCCCCCTCTTTAAAAGAGAAAGCTCAACAGTTGTGACGATGTACTTACATCTTGATTGCTTGGGGAAAGGTGCCTCTTATGATCCAGCATAGGAGGTGGAGAAGAAAAATGCTCTCCCTTCCGGGGCATATTGCTTACAGGACATGGAATGTTACCGTCTAATTATACTTAAGGCTACTCTCTCCTTAGGAGAGGAGTTCTGCCTGGTTAAGTCAGTAGAGGGAGGAAAAGAACACTCGGGCATTTGGGGGGAGTGGGCTCCTTGATTGCAAAGTCACCTCTGGCCTTTCTCCCTCTGAGTTTGTGTTTCTCCTGGCTGCAATCCTCTCTTTAGAACAGAAAAATAGGGGCGCCTGGGTGGCTCAGTTGGTTAAGCGACTGCCTTCAGCTCAGGTCATGATCCCAGGGTCCTGGGATCGAGTCCCACATTGGGCTCCCGGCTCAGCAGGGAGCCTGCTTCTCCCTCTGATCCTCTCCTCTCTCATGCTGTTTCTCTCTCACTCGCTCTCTAATAAATAAATAAATAAAATCTTTAAAAAAAAAAAAAAAAAAAAAAGAACAGAAAAATATCCTATGTCCAAAGCCCAAAGAAATTATGGTCACGGATACGTTCTCTTTCTTGCCATGCTTGTTGATTCATAATTTTTATTCTCTTCTAATTTTGACACCTCGGCTTTGTAGTTGCAGTCTGAGACAGAGAGGTTGGGAGGGGTCATCTCCCAGTTAAGCAGTAGAGTCAGAAACAAGCAGAAACTCTTGTTCGGGGGTCTTCCCAGCTTAGCCTCCGGTGGAGCACGTAAAAGAAAGATTGAGATACAAGAGCGCTCTGTAGAGATGCATATAAAGAACAAAGGAAGTGGGTGGGTGGAGACATATCAGCATGTTATCCAAGGGAGTGGGAGACAGCCTGTATGAACCCGGGGAGTGAAATAGGAGAAGGGAGGGCAGCAATGTGAAGCTGGCTCCCAGGGGCCCACTAAGTGTGCGGATGTGCTTTGCGGTGGCTTGAGGTTTAAGCTATAACGCTTCATATTTAAAGTCTAATCAGAATGGTGTTCTGGCTCCTATGAGATTAGAGAATAAGAAATAATAACTAAATACCTTTGAGACTTCTGGTATCACAGTCCCCATATGAGAGGCAAAGAAAGATAAGTGGCTTCTCAACTCACTCAGCATTTTTGAGCAGAATTCAGAAAGGTAAAAAAGGTAACGGGTCTTTCCCCAAAGGAAGACAGACTCCCTGATGTGAGTGTCATTGCCACAGGAATATCATTCTCAGAAACTGTCCGTGTTCACATGAAGGCATGTCTTCGTCGGGAATATTACTTTTGCCCATCCTGTACCATCCCTCAGCCCTACCCCGTTCCACACAAATATGCACATACTATGAATACTGAGGTTGTCTGGCAACATAAACCTATCCCCCCATCCTCAGTGGAACCCCAGACCTTATACATACATATGCACGTACATGTACCCACCAGTACACACACATTCCATATTTTGGGCACTGACACTGCTCCCTTGATTTCCAAAGTGATATCCAAAATAAGAGGCGAGAGGTTCCAAGAAATAGAAGATGAGACCTCACAAAGGAGCCCTTGAGGAACGTGCTTTATGCCTAGAGGGGCACCAAGACACCCAGAAAGATGGGCTTCTCAGGCTCAGAGCAAAAGGAGGAGTGGATGGCCCAAGAAACTAAAGAGCCAGGGTGACCATCTCTGCAGAGCGGACCAAAAAAGCAAGAAAAATAAAAAGACACCACACATGGGATTTTCACAGATACAGTGCCTTGGCCACAAGAGGAAAATAAGCAGACCCACTCCAGCTTTGTCCCCTATTGTCACCCATTGCTGCTGCTTTGGCAAGTTTTTATTCCCCAAGATAAACCCGAAGGCCAGGCTGCCAAAGATGAATTTCAAAGCGCAGCTTTCCACTCAAGTGGCATTTGATAATGCCAAGCAGTTGGGGGCCAATGAAGTCACCGCTTCTGCAAATCAAATGAACCCAGCTCCTAAACACATATAACCCTGCTCTGACACTCTTGCCAAAAGAGGGAGAGGCAGGAAGGAAAATGGGCAAGGAAACTACTGGAATAGGTAATAATTTCATTCTTTCTGTGCTTACCGTAACCTAGAGTGTTGAATGGTTAAGACAGCATTGTTTCTCATGGACGAGTATGCTGTGGAGAGAAAAACGAGCATGACTTGTGAAAATTCTGATTCATGAAATTTCGTTTTTAAAGAACTGGCAGTTTAGTCATATTTAAATATGTAACAGCCTCTGGAACATATGCAGAACCAATATGGGGTTCCCTGGTGAGCAGTCCTTTTGGAGCTGGGATAGTGAATAACTAAATACTATTCATAATTAACATACCATCTTTGGGAGGTACAGTGCCCCTGGAATTTATGTCTCCCACATTTGTCGAGGATCAACAATGCATAAGAAACTGTCTGCTTGCTGTTGATTGCCCAAAATGAGGCTTGTTCTCCTAAGTAGTTCAAAGTATTCCTCCCAGCTACTTGTTTATACCATTTATTTGCTTAACAAACATGTTGTTCCAAAGGAATACAAAGTTGGCCCAACTCTAAATTATCCCATATGCCACATCAGCAGGTACAAACTAATGAGGTTTGACTGTGTCAAAAGCCAAGGTAAAATGTACATACTCTGTTGATCGAAACCCGACCTCTTTGAGTTGAGAAATTCAGAGCTGTATTTGTTAAAAGAACATTGGAAGTTGGACAGATTTGAATGTGAGCCCCAACTGTCTGTTATCATAAGCAATTAAATTTTGTCTACGCATCAGTTTCTTCGTCCATAGAATCTGGGCCGTAGCTATGAGGCAGGTTTGTAGTGAATATCGGAGGTTTGGTATATAAATCACTGGGCATAGTGCTGGGTGGATGGCACGGACTCATGCTCTTTTTTCACTCTTCTGCTTAAAAATGTTCATATTCTCCTGTAAAGGGCCTGAGATAAGTGGGTTCAAATATACTTGTTAGCTTGTCCACTTACTACCACCATCTGTGCTCCACAAAACCACTCATTCTAAGCTTCTGTTTCCTTATCTTCAAAATGTGGCTGCCGGTAACTCTATCTCACGGTTACCGTGAGCATTAAAAGGGATGGCCTGCCCTGTTGCACACATTCAGATCCTTCTCTCACTGGCCCTCAGTCTTCCTGGGTTGTCATAATTCCAAGTAGGGTAAAATGGGTATGAATGCATTTAATACACCCGAAGACGCTTGAAAAATACGGTACACAAGTCATGATTTGTTATTTCACGGCTTCATCAACTTACCCAGTTGACCTCTTTCCTCAAGTATGGAAGAGAGAAGGCAATCATATTGTCAGAGCCAAGTAATTAATGCGGACTGGTTATAGTGGGAACAAGGTGTTATAGGAACGGAGGAGGGAATGATTTCACAGCTTAGGGAAACCACTGCTTCTTTATGTTGAAACGCTGTTCTCTTTTGTTCAGTATGTTCCAGTGGCTTAATAGAGCCATCTTTTTATAGGAAAAAAAAAGGGAGGGGGGAAACAATAGCAATTGGATCATGAGCTTTAAACTGACCTTGTTTTCAATTGCCCCAGGCTGTAGATAGCTCAGTGACTTAGATAGTTGTTAAGAGCATGGCCTGTGAAGCCATCAGCTCTGGGTTAAAATTCCAGGTCTGCCACTTACTCTCTGTGTACCTTAGGTGGCATGACCTTGGAGAAGTCACTTTACCTGGATGAGCCTCGGTTTCCTCATACATGAAAAAGAATAGGTTATACTTAGCCAAGAGGATTGCTACAAAGATTAAATGAGATCGAGTATTTAAGAGCATGGGCGCTATGCCTAACATAAAATTAAAGTAGCCCTATGTACGTATCATTTACCAAGCAGCAGAACTGAAAGCACCAGATTGTAACTCTAGGCGATGGCAAGCTACCACTAACCTACCTTAGAGGAAATAAGAAGCTTCCATCAAACTTAGAATACAACCGCCATACCATAAGGGGCATAGATATATTGCTTTTCTGTCCCATAGTCCAGGGAGTCATTATACTTAAGCATTACCCCCTTCCCCCATCCTCACCCTCTCTTTTCTCCAAGACAAGCGCTTAAGCTGAATTTGACAGTCTGCATTTTTTTAAGTAAACAAATATATCCTATCTCAAATTGATGTATTTTTCAGCCATGTCAATTTTTCCCAGGTAGCAGGGATAAAGGGAATGTTCTTGGCTAACAAGAAGATTGACAATCAAGTGAAGACTTTCATCACGTATAACAAAGGCCGAGACTGGCGTTTACTGCAGGCTCCAGACACGGATCTAAGGGGGGACCCTGTGCACTGCTTACTGGTGAGTTTTCACACTGGAGAAGAATGTTCCGCACAGCGGAGGGCTGGAAGTGGATATTAAACAGGCATATGAAGTGGGTTCCAGGGCTCGTTGTTCAGTTGGTGAGCAAAAGGGGACAGGGCTGGATGTGAAGGCACTATGCTGCCTTATATGCTGGGCCAGAGAGGTAAGAGGGCATGAGTGGGTTCCTTGCTCACGTCAAGGATTCTGGGTTGTGACCAAGTTCTGTTGAGAACCTCAAATTGTAGTTTCAGGGAGAATGTGATAGTTTCCTTATATGGTGGGGATATACACCTTTACTTTCCCATGAATGGCTTGTTACATATCCAAGGATGCATAAATTCAGCTACAGAACTGATGAACTGAAAGGAGAATTTTGTAGATGTGTTTTCCAGCAAAGGTGTTTAGTCACATTTTCAGAAGAGTTTATGCCTCAAACAAGGGTAAGAAGCACTGATCTAAACCCTCTTTTGTACTCTTTGTAATATGTTCTGTTCATCTATGTCTCATTCCGTGAAGCTGGGGTTGGTAAACTATATGGCCTGTGGGGCCAATATGGCCCGCCAGTTGTTTTTCTGAATAAAGTTTTACTAGAACACAGTCATGTTTAGTCATAGACCCACTGTGGCTGCTTTTGCTCTACATGGCAGAACTGAGTAGTCACAGCAGGAACTGTATGGTCTATAAAGCCTACAGCATTTATTATCTGGCCCTTTAAAAAAGGTTTACTGTCCCCTCCTTTGAAGCATGGTGTTCTTCTCAGTGTCTAACATTTGGACACTGAGTAGATAGATGAGCATGAATTTATCTATGTATTTGATTATACGAAGGTGTCTTAGGTGTTATATCTTAGGTGTTATGTCTTAGGCCCTGTATTCACCATTATTTCTCTTAAAATGTGTTTGTTGACTGTAGAGTTTACAGTCTACTTGAAAGGGACTAGATTAATAAATGCAAGATTAGAGGGTCACATCTCACTCCTTATCATAGCTCTGGTGCTGGCCCATGCTTGACACATGAATAGATACTGACTGATGCAGAGGAAGGGAGGAAGAGATTAATAATTGCAAACAAAGTATACTTAAGTGCTAATTTCTCTGAAATAGTTTATAAAAAGGAGAGATCAGTATATAAACAGGGGAGTCTTCTTCATTTTAGTATGAAGGGTTTGGTTGTGTGTCTACACACACATCAGTGTTGTGGTCTTCATACAATTCTGACCTTGATGTTATCCACACTCAGCTTGCTTTGTCCCATCAAGTCTGAACAGTCCTTTTGCAGGTTCATCTCATACCGCTGTGGGCGCGTCACCCTCCTACCCAAGAAGATGCCAGCAGCTGTGGCTTAACCTAATTAGTTGCAAAGGATATCATGGTTGTCACTGTGCATCAGCTAAGCAGTCTAAAATTCAGCCTCCCACTCAGCTTCTACCCTTATTACTGGCAACTTACAGGGGGAGAAAAGCCAGTTGTTATCATAAGTGCACAAAGCCAATGATAGAGTAAGGAAATGTAACATTTATTGAATACCTACTCTGTACAAGGCACTGTTCAGTAGCATTTTAAAAAACAGAGCCACCTTCCTAGTTTTACTCTTCCAAGTTGCGGCATCATGGTACTTAGCCAGAGAAGCATGGGATGCACCAGTGCCTCAGTGTAGTCCTCCTTCCCACCATGCACTTTGGAGATTAAATGCCCATGAGACAGAATTAACCAAAGCACCTGAAGAGGCTTGCCTGTGATCACTCAGGCGTCATAAGTGGGTTGTGACAAATGCCTCTGACACACAGAGCACTTAGTGAAGTGCTTCATACTCCACCTCCAGCCCAGTTTTAGGAACTTTTTTTAAATTTTTTTTAAGATTTTATTTATTTATTTGAGATAGAAAGAGCATGAGTGGGGGGAAGGGCAGAGGGAGATGGAGAAGCAGACTCCCTGCTGAGCAGGGACCTGGACTTGGGGCTTGATCCCAGGACCCTGAGATCATGACCGAAACTGAAGGCAGACACTTAACCGACTGAGCCACCCACACACTTAGGAAGGCTTATTGCCATGCCTCCAAAATATAAATGCAGTATCAGCTTGCTTTCCCACCTCCACTGGGACTGTCCTAATCCAAGCCACCATCATTTCTCACCTGCCCTACAGTGATGGGCTCCCAAGTGGTCCTCCTGTCTCTACCTGGCAATCTCTTCTCCACACAGCAACCGATGAGATCTTTTCTTTTGTAATCTAACTTTACTGAGTAAAACATACATAAAAAAGTACCCGTTTTAAGAGTATAGTTTGACAAATCTTGACAAGTGTAGATACCTATGTGACCATTACCACAGTAAAGATAGAACATTTTCATCACCCTCAAAAATTACTTTGTGCCCTTTGCAGTCATTTTCCACTCCCCCCGGCCCTAGACAACCACAAATCTGCTTTTCTTTACTATAGATTAGATTTATCTTTTCTCAAATTTTCTGTGTTAAATGTATTTTTATGTGTAAAAAGATTTATCTTTTCTCACATTTTATGTATTGAATGAGATCGACTTGACCTTTAAAAATTCAGATCTTATCCCTCCTTTACTTGAAGTTTCGAATAACTTTCTAACTCAGGTAGAATAAAGTTCCAGTACTTCACCATGGCCTGTGAGGTCTCATAGGGTCCGGCTCCTGTCTGCTTCCCCAGCCTGTTGTCCAGCTTCTGTCCCCCCGCCCTTCCTCACTTGGGCTACCCTGGGAGAGGACAGCACCTCTTTCCATACCTTGAGGTCACCATGCTTCTTTATGTCTTAGGCCCTGTATTCACCATTATCTCTCTTAAAATCCCGTTTCCCGAGTCTGGCTTTTTCTTGGCTTTCAGATTCTTGCTTGATTACCTTAATCTCAGAGGCTTTCTTACGCTTTCTCAAAGGTGGTGCTTGGCCCAACTCTTTTTTACCCATGACCCTTCTCGTTCTCTGAAATCAGCGCATGTATTTGTTGACTGTCTTTTCTACCTCCCTCTGCTAAAATGTGAGCAGCATGAGTATAGGAACTGTGGCTGTCTCTCTGGCCACTCCAGAGAATCAGCTCAAGGATAACCACGTGGGAGGTGTTCAGCACGTGTTGTTGTTATGGGTATCGTTTGTCTGAAGTCGATGCTCCATTGACAGGTGGTGTTGGAGTTTCACATTCAGACTTGAGTGGAAACGTTCCCTTGCCACTGACAGCCACACTGAGGGATCTGTCATAATAGCCATCTGTGAAGCTCAGAGGCTCAGGCTGACCCTACAGTTAACAAAATCAGTAGGCTCATTAAGATCCAGCAAAGATGAATTAATGGGCTCTGGATGTGTGGCACCCAGGAGTCTTTTGGCCTGCCTCCCTCATTAACCTTGTTTGATGTAGTTTCAGTCTGAGTTTTAGAAAACAGGCTGAGGAAGTGAAATGGCAAAGGGAGTGGAGGGCAGGGACCAAAATCACTTATAAAAATCTGCCAAAGGCACAAAATAGGAAAGAAAATCTTTGAGCTACAGGAGACCCGGACCGTTAAAAACCTTCTTTAGGCTTGGGAGCTGGTGGCAGAGAGGAGATAAAAAGTGCTTTTAGATTGTGAGTACTTGGAAAGTGACAGTGTCCCCAAAAGCACAGCCTAGTGATTAGAAAGGAGATTTTCCAGCAGGGCTGTTACAAATGTGGAGCAAGTTCAGAATTACAGCCCCAAATGGAATGTCCCTGGTAAAATGCATTCTATAGAAATAACACATCCAGAGTAATTTGCGGCTGTATTTTTAGGACTTTTAGACTGATTGCCCGGAGGGCTCAGCTAGGATTTCTTTTTCTCTGAAGAGTGCATTGTACAGTTAGATGGGGTATTACAGGTCATGGTCCACCTGCCTCCAAAGCCTCAGGATTGGGCTCCCAAGAGGTGAGATGTGAGCTGAGCTTGTGACAAATGCTTTGGGTCCCTAGGGAAAGCATAGTGTTCTGTGGAGAGAAGTCGTGGCTTCTTTATGGATTCAGTTGACAGTTCTCTGTTGGAGCTAAGCGACCAGCTACCCCAGGAGATTCTTGACTCTGTTTTCCATTCCTTTGCATAGGCTGTAACTCCGCATGTTATGTTGGATTGGAGTGGAGCTGAATCTCCTCTTGGCCCAGAGCCCTCTCTCTTCTTTGCCATTGACTCTTTACTAAAAATCTAATGGATTTCTAGTTCCAATTCAGGATCATAAACAGCGCAAGTGTGTGTGTTCAGGGAGTGGATTTGGAGGATACTATTTAAGACTTTAGCTGCTGCCTTATTATTTATAAAAGGTGCGATTTGGCTTTTCAGTGTAATACTCAGATTAGGAGCCCTAGGGATAAGAGTACTATGAAGACGAGACCTAAAGGCTGTTAGTACAGAGGTTGGGGAAAAGAGAAAGTGGAATGAGAAGCTGATTGATTCTCAAATATATCTAACAGTATTTTTAAGTTGATTTAATTCATGTTGGAGAGCATGTCTCCTATCATTTAGTAATTCTCCATTGGCCATCCACAGTGCTAAGAAGACAGTAGCTAATTAATGGATCAATTAAATCCAACCAACATTTATTGAACACTAGCAATGGCCAAAGGATTTCACTGGTTAAAATAAGAAATAAAAGAATAAGGCAAAAGAAAGGTCATTGGGACCTAGAGGTCCATGATGGGCTTCAGGAGTCTGTGAGCTCCCTGAAATTGAACACAGAACTCTGTGTGCATTTGCCTTTGTGTATTTTTTCTTGGGATAGCGTCCTTAATTTGCCTCAGATCCTCAAACTCTAAACCTGATCCTGAAAAGATGAAAGACGAGAGATCTAGATGCTGCTAGGATTGACCAGTTGATGATATGCCATGCCCTGTGACTATGGGTGAAGACACAAAGGGCAGTTTCCAAACTGTAAAGTCAGCTGCTAGGTCATGGTGGTCTCAGTGTAGTGCTGTATCTTCTTAATGTGCAAAGATAAGGGGAATAGGAAGATGCCCTTGGGACAAAGTGTGCTTTGACTCTACTGAGTTGCAGAGAACTCTGGAAAGATAGTCACATATTTACGACATGGTTGGTAATGGGAGAAAAGAGGACGAGAAGGCTGGAGAGAGGGCAGGAAATGAGAAAGGAGAGGTAAACAAAGTGCCCCCTGCCCGGGCACAATGTGCATAATTAGAGAGCCTTGTCCGGTGACCTGCGGGAACTGGCAGTGGCTTGATAGCCATTCTAATAAACCTCTCTATTAATTTTTGGTGACTTAACTTTGACAGATGTCCAAAACTGGTCAGATACAAAAGTTTAACTTCAAAAAGTAAAGATGAATCACTTAACATTGTTTTTCTTTGAGCATTGATGTAGACGATATAACTTCCTTGAAAAAAATGGAAGAAGGGGGATAAAAAGCCACGGAATATTCTCCTCATACCAGCTGGGGGCAATCCAGTACTGCAAATGTGAGAGTGGAAAAAAAGTGCACCAAAAAGAACACTTCTAATGTGGCTGCTACAGCCTGAACTGGTATCTTTCCTTCTCAAATTAATTTATTTCGAGCCTCTGAAAGCCCTAGCCACAGAGCAGTACCGAGATGGCCGATTGAAAATGCCCTTTCCTTTGTAATGGCAAGTGCCCTGTCTCAAATAACCCTTGAGCAGGTCAGATGGCAACCGAGCTTCGCAGTCTTCGAGACTGTTGGCTGATGAAGTATGTGGCAAACATCTGGCTCAGGATGGCAGACTGGGTGATCCCTTAGCCACGGATGTTCTGCTCTGTTGGGTGACACAAAAGGCCCTACAGGAAGCCCACGTGACTAGGCTAATCCCCGAGGAGTTCTGGACTTCTTGGAATGCCATGGAGATACTCAACATTAATCTGATGATGTGGTTTATACATTAGCCCAACGTACTTCTGGCATTGTTCTGAGTCAAATAGCCAACAAAGGTCTATCAGGTCCTCACTTATATAAAGCATTGCTTGATACTTCAAGCATTTATTGACTATCTCTTTTAGATTCTATGCCAGGTTCCACAGAAGACTCAAAGTGTAGTACTTGGTGTTTTCTATTTATTTGTAGAGTTTATCTCTTAGGGAGATAAAACTGTACATACCTCAAATAGATAATATGAGATTGCACATGATCAAATAAACCATTGTAAATCAGAGAAGGAGAGATCCCAATAGGCTGCAGCTGTCAGGAAAACTTTCATGGAGGCACGGTTTGCCATCTCTGCTTTTTCCTGTCTTAGCATCTGAGTGCAGCACAGGCCTGTCTGGAACATCCACAACCTACAACCCTACCCATTCTCATCTTCCTCTCAGGCAAAAGGAAGCCAAACATTTGGGTCCCACTGATTCTTTTTATAGGGGCAGTCTTCCTTACTCTTATGAAATGTTGTAAAGTAAAAATGCCGTTTTTGAAAGCCTTCCATGCAATTTTCAGGCAAAACCCATCATTTATGAAGATCATTATCCCTTGAGAGTTTACTCTGCGTTGGCAGTAAGGAAAGGCCCTGTTGCAATCCACTGTTTTACTTTACCAGTATTTTGGCCGCTTTTATTCCTGCGCTTCATTTTTAGTTTGCCGTTTACGCTATCCCATATAAATTCAATCAGTGTATGTCTGTGGCTCTCTGAATATCTGCTGGCTGAGACTTACAGAGCAAAATGAAAGTAATAACAGAGATACATTGGTGATTCCAAAAACTCAAGTCGATAAGATTAGAAAATAATCTTTCCGAGAGATGAAAAGAGATGTAGGTTCAGACACAAACTTGTAGTTTTTGACAACTCAGTACCAGAACTGTTTTAAATGAAATTCGTATAAGATTTATTATCCTGTATTTGAAAACTGTTGGTATCTTAATCTGAGAATTTGATCGAGATTTTTACACGTAGATAATAAGTCCCTTAAATTTCCATTTGAATTGTTACTAGTAGTGCATTTTGTCTACAAGCATGACTTTTATATTGAATAATACTGATTCTGAGAATACCCTGCCATGGGTACTCTGATGATTGCCTGGTAGATGTTAGGAAAATTTCACATGTCATACAGTTTCTTCTGGACAGATGAGACCAAGGTCTCCAATGGACAGTGGCCAAGAGGTGCCAGCTGACTTCTTCAGATCCCTCCCAGATGGAGCAAATCTTCTTCCTATCTTTATATCCAATTTTTCCTCCTCTGTCTTACCCAGCTCAACTCTTCTGCTTCTTTTCTTTGTTACTGATATCACTCAGGCCTGAAATGTTCTTTATCTTCCTGAACATCTCACCTGCAGTTCATACCTTACCCATCTTTGCCTCAGGCACCATTTTCTCCTTGAAGCCTTCCTTGATCCAAAGTTGGACATAGTTGTGTCAGCCTCTAGAACTTCATGTTTCATCTTTACTGATCTTATGGCTGTTACACTAGTCTCTCTTTATGGTAATCAATAGAAAGATCTTAATTTTTTTTAAAATTACCCCATAATGGCAGAGACCATATTTTAGTCAATATAAGTCTTTCATAAGCTACACCTAGTGCTTTACAGATAGAGTACTAACATATTTGTTGAATGGCCAAATGGCAATCAAGGCAGTCGATCAGACCTAAAATGAAGATGCTCCCTCCTTCCCCAATTTGGTATCTGTCTTATACTTAGTGGACAGCAGATATCTGTGGAATAGAAGATGAGTGCATGAATGAATGGCTGGATGGGATGGGTGGAAGAATGCATGGATGCTCGGAATCTGGACTTAAAATGACCATTTAGATTATATGCTTTTATGACCCTCATTTCTCTTCTTCTCAGCCCTATTGCTCACTACACCTTCACCTTAAGGTCTCCGAGAATCCCTACACATCAGGGATCATTGCCAGCCGAGACACAGCTCCCAGCATCATAGTGGCTTCAGGTAAGAAGCTTGCCTGGTGGGCTTGCTGTTGCAAATTGTATTTATTTTAAGAAGCTAGATATCTGTGCTGGGAATTTAATGAGCAAGCAAAAATATTTTGCAAGTCACCTGAACCATTGACCCTGAACAACTATGCTGAAAAGCCCTGCTCACATACAGTGTTGACAGTCTCGGTCCATCTCGGGCAGCATAGATTGCCAGTAGAGCCCATTGTTAGCTTTCGCAAACAGCTCCTTTCACTAATGGTGACATGCTCTCTCTAGGTAATATAGGTTCTGAATTATCAGACAGCGACATCAGCATGTTTGTCTCTTCAGATGCAGGGAACACCTGGAGGCAGGTAAGAAGGCATCCTGGGTCTCGTTGCTACGGTTTAAATGACATAAACATTGTTTAGCTTGGTTAAATTCTGGGAACTCATTTGGCTATATGTAAATCCTAAAGCTCGCCAGTGTGTTTATTTTCCTTTTTGTTTTATGAGAGTCTTAAATAAGTCTTTGAGTTTAGCAAATACTTATGCAATGTGATTTTTTTGCCATTCAATAAAAATGACCCTTTTTTCAGAGCCTCTATGTAAAAAAGTTTATAAGTGACAATGAAACCAAATTGGATCTGAATCCAATTGGACTGAATTTTTTTTCCCACAAAGAAAACCAGGATCCCAAAGAGGTTATTGTATAGGGAACACAGAGCCTGAAGGGTAGATTATATACCCAACACAACTCAGTGTTGGCAATTCAGCCTCCATAAATTCCCCTTGCCTTGGAGTCAGAATAGAGAGGAATGCAGTGATACAGAAACAGCCGTTACCCAGGTGGTATTTTGAAATATTTAAATTTCACATGCAGAAGACAGAGTAATAACCATCAGGGTGCATATGTTTGGAAAGGTAGAAATGGAATCGCTTTAAGCCAACGTGTTTAGCTTAAATGCTTCTTCTCTTTCTTCTGAATGAAAATTAGATACCCATAGCTTATAAAACAGACATTTAATGAGGTTTAGCAATCATAACAAGATATGTGCCTAATGCATGGTTGTTACACTTCAATAAATATATTTTAATAACCTACTGACGTTTAATTATCATACAATAACTAGCAAGCACCATAAATTGAAATCTAATGCACAGGTAATCACACAGAAATGAGAACACTCTGCTTTAAATTTTAGACAGAGATGTCCATGTTATGGTCCAGTTACCATTTCTTAGCTTCAGACCCTTCGTAGGCCCTCCATGTGATTCACATGGTTTGAGAAGAGCGAGGTGGAAAGAAATTTGCTTAAGAAACCCCAGGGATATTGATCTTGGAGGTAGGTATGTAGGAACATGGACTATTAAACTGCTTCTGGAGAACAGTTCAAGAGCCAGGATCCCGTTTTGTTTCTTCCAGCACCCCAAACCAAGCAGAGAGCTCTCACATCCGTAGTCCTGGGATACCTCTTAGGTATAATAGGTAAACAAGGGAGAAAATAATTATGTCTGTAGTGTAGCCACAGACAAGGCAATACCAGCAATGCAATTATGAGAAAACAGCACACATCTCGTATGGAGAGGACACAGAAATTGTTTGCGGCCCGTCTTCCCTGGACTTCAAGTTGATTTCTCCACATTTGGAGAAAAACCTAAAGGACACATGTACCCAAGTTGATTCCATTTTGATCAGAACTACTTTAGACTTGATAGAGAATCCATGAATTGAACAAGAACAGCTTTCCTCTGTAATACTTGGAAACTGAAATAATTACCTCTGGACAGGGCACTGTAATGCGGCAAGTCCCAGCCCCGTGAGTCACTCTACGCATGGCCTTAGGCATGTCACATCTCTCTAAACCTGTCAAAATGAGAATGTGGAGTAAAGTATCTCTAAGGTTTCTTCCTTCTAAAGATGTTACACAATAGGATGGTTACCCAGGATTCTGACATCGTCATCAGTGGGAATCAACAGAACTTACCGCAAAAAGATGGGAATATAAACATGAATATGTAACTATTAATTCTTCAGATTTCTCTTGTGGCACACCTATAATCATTTTATCTAACTCCAATGGTACGTGCGGCCCACGTTGGGAAGCATTGTTTATAACTATCTTTCCAAAGATTTTTGGGAAACCCTGTTCTATCATGGGAGGGATTTATCTCCTCAGATGAAGACTAATTCTCTGAACTCTGGGCATGTGTGGGTGTAGATGTGTGTCCATGTGGATGTGTTTCCCTCTTGCAGATCTTTGAAGAAGAGCACAGTATTTTGTATCTGGATCAGGGTGGAGTCCTGGTTGCTATGAAGCACACGTCTCTCCCGATTCGACATCTCTGGTAAAAGCATGAGTCATGGACCGGATGGCTCCATACCGCTAAGCGCAGTTGAGGGGTCAGGCTGTCAGATGGGGACTGGGTTTGTAGTAAAACATCAATGTCTACTAGAACATAATTTATACCTTTGCTCTATTAAAATAAGATTATTGCCTGGAGTTTCACAAAAGAAGGAGGAAAGGAGATAGAAGAAGGGAAGGGAGGAAGGAAGGGGAGAGGGAGAGAGAGAGAGAGAAAGAGAGAGAGAGAGAGAGATTGAGATCGATTCTGCCCCTGAGAGAGGAGTTGCATGATGGTTTTCAAATATGTCAGTACCCTCTCCAGTACCTTCCTTATTCCTTCAGCACACTCCCAGCTACAGTGGCGTGTCAGGTACAATGGGGAGAAGTTAAGAGTAGCTTAACGTGTATTCATTATGTGTGTTCTGCACAGAGATCAGCAGTTCAGGGCACTGTTTCTTTCTGTCTCCTTTGCCCTGATCCTACTTCCTTCGCTTCCTTTGGGCGGGGCGGAGGGGGGCACGGGGTGTGTGAAAATCTGCATCTCTACCTGTAGGTCTCACACAGATGGATGTGCAAGGCCTAACTTCCAGAATGCTTTCCAGTAGACTCCTTCATCTGTGTTTTTGAAAGGGCCTCTCTCCACAGGCAAGCTTGTTTAAAACCAAAAGCGTGATTTTGCCTCTGGTGCTAGTTACTTTGGAGACCTATGGGAAAGCTGCCAAAATAAGAGAAACGGAGGCTTAGTTTGGGGGATGACATCCACAGAGAAAGGCAGAGTGAAGGAAACATCCTGTGTGACCAGCAGAGTTGCAGATCTCTCTTACTCTCAAGAGCCAGTCCTTTTGTACCCCCTTTTTCAATGAGTCAGCTAGGATTCATAACAGGGTAGGAGGGAAGCCGCTCAGGATTTGCTCACTTAGAGGCAGCTGGTTCAAGTCCATCTAAGTAGGTCCAATGAGGCCATTGCTCTTCAGAATCACCAGTAAGCCTTGCTGCTAGATTGCAGTGAGGTTTTGGAGAGGGTCACATTGAGATCTAAGATCTAATAAAATATCCAAATTAAAAAAAAATTCTATCAAAGACTTATTATTATTCCCATTTCATGCAGTTCTTCCCTTATGGCTGTTATAACACATCTGGGTCCCAGATCGCTTGGCTAACTGTATTTCTACCTTCTGATGTAATTAAGAATAGTTATTCATATAAAAGGCTCACTTTGACAGCGCCCTGGGTACTTTTAAAATGTATTCTCTCTTGGCTGATAGTATCTTTCCTCTGAAAGGATTTTTTTTTTTTTCTTTTGAGATCTGATGCCTGCTATTTTTTCTTTTATTAGGTTGAGTTTTGATGAAGGGAGATCTTGGAGCAAATACAGTTTCACATCTATTCCACTTTTTGTGGATGGGGTTCTGGGTGAGCCTGGGGAGGAGACTCTAATCATGACGTAAGTGGAAAAGTATGATGTATTCTAATCTTAACATAAATCCAGAAACATGTTGTATTTTGTTTTCTTTTTAAGGAATTTATTCATTTATTTGAGAGAGCGAGAGAGCATGAGCAGGGGGAGGGGCAGAGGCAGAGGCAGAGAATCTCAAGCAGACTCTGTGCCATGCACGGAGCTCCAGGTGGGGCTTGATCTCCACCTGAGTCGAAACCAAGATCCGGACACCTAATGGACTGAGCCACACAGGTGCCCCCAGAAACATGTTGTTTTTAGCAAATCCTAACCACTTTGCTACTGTTAAATATGAAATTGCCAGCAAAGTTATTACATCTGACTTCATGGTTTCCCAGCAAAGGGGAAAGAAAAATGTGGGTGGCCATTTTCTTGGCTCTTTACTAATTAGGACACCCACACTGAGGGCTGGCAGCAAAAGGGCACAACTTATTTCTTCCTATACTGAATGGGCCTAGGGAAATTAGAAATGATTATTTCAATAGAAAATGAAACTATAAATTTAAAACTTTAATAATAAACTCAATATTACAGAAAATCACAGGCATATAAGAATGATTTCACTTTAAGGCAGAACACTGAGCTTGATCAAAACCCCACAAAGGATTTTCTTTTTCCCTGGTTCTTTACCTAACCCACTTGTGAGGCTATATTAGAAAAACCGGGAGAACAATCTGTTCTTGTGAAACTGTATTTGCACTCATTCTTGTCTGGAAAGTGATGATCATTAATTTGTGAAAGACTTGATTAATGAGTTTGAAACTTAAGGGTTTCAAAACATGAACTTGGAATTTGAAACATGAAACTGTGAGGGTTTTTTTTTTCTTCCCCTGGAAAATTAGACATGAAAAACAGAGGGAAGGTTTTAAAGTAGTCAACCCTGTCATCAATGAAAATTTAAAAGTCATAATGAATAGTTGATACTTTTTCTAATTTTTTCTTCCCTTCTTTTAATGATAGAAAAGATCAACAAAAATTCAGTATGCCCAATAGCTGCACTTTTGCCCACCGAACACATAGCCAGATTAGCAATTTGTTTCATAATTTGTCTTTATTCAGTTTTCATATTTGCAGAACACAGATGAAAAAGGCTACTTCGTGGCTTTTCTCCACAGAGGGCTATAACTGGTGATTCAAACACCTCATTAGATGCCCGAGTTTGTCTGAGTAAGGAGAGAATGCAGAGTGCAGGACACAGTTCTCACTCCAGGCCCTGGCCCTGCTGCCCACTCTCCCCAGGGACTGGCGGGAAGGTGAAATAGGACAGAAACCGTGAGAACCACGGACCTTAGTAAGAGAACCCAGAAGTGTAATCCTGCACTGCATAGAAGGCAGCACTTGCGATTGTTTTCTTAATTTTTTTTTTTTCTTGTCAGCCGTTCTTGTGGTGCAATATGTAGAAGTGGGTTTTTCGTCAGACTTTACCTGGTTCTGGGTTCTGACTCGACCAGTTCTTAGTGGTTTGACTTTGGTTTTTTGCATGTTAGTGAAACTCTCTGAGCCTCAAATTACTCACGGGTAACACAGAGCCAATAATAGTGACCCCCCACCTCGTCAATGCTTTTGAGGATTAAGTGATTTGCTCAATGTAACGCGTTGAGCACTGTGCTAAGCTCGTGGTCAACACCCGGCATGGGCTGGCTACTGGAGTTGCTCCGATTTTGATTATTTTTCTTGTTATGAACTCTGTAGCGTGTTTGGACACTTCAGCCACCGCTCAGAATGGCAGCTGGTCAAAGTGGACTACAAGTCCGTGTTCGACCGACGGTGTGCCGAGGAGGACTACAGACCGTGGCAGCTGCACAGCCAGGTAGGAGGCGCCGAGCTGAGGTGTGGTCCTGGGTGGAAGGCATGGGGGTCATGTAGGTGTAGGGATGGGGGTCCGCACGGCCACAGTTTACCTCTCCGGCTACATCGGAAGCTACATCGACTGCTTTCTTACATGTTTTGTGTTCCACAGCAGTGAACAAACTCAACATTTATGGCTTGTTGTAAAGTAATTTCTTTTTTTTATTATACTAGGATATAATGAGATAAAATTCAAATGTGCTTGGCTCAGACTTACGACCCAAAATGAAATACCAGCTCAGCACGCAGATCCAAACAATTTATCTGAGCATGCCGTGTGGATGCAGGGTAGGGGCAGGGGTGAGGAAAGGATCTTCAGTTTTATTGAGCAATGCAAACAGAGACATAAAATAATAAAACTAACCCTCAGTGAGCGGTGCCAGTAAATCCTTCCTTGTCACCTGTGATTCCCTGGGATTAGGCGGTGCTTCTTGCCTCCTTCCAAGGTACTCGTGGTAAGAGGATGCAGAATCATTAATAGGACACTTTCCTTCATTCTGGCCCCTCAGCTGATCAGCTTGTATCAGAATGCTTAGCTGAAAGCATCTTTCCTTTGATTTCCCAAGGTGGAAGTCATTCTGCAGGGCCCTCCAAGGACGTAGCAGAGGCTCCCCCTGCGTAGCCATCACCATATTCAGGCACTGACACATCATACCCCTAAACCTAGGCTAAGTACACTGGACCCTTGAACAACGTGGGTTTGAACTGCATGGATCCACGTACATGCAGATTTTTTTTTCAATAAATACAGTCCAGTGCTGTAAATGTATTTTCTCTTCCTTATGATTTTCTTAATGACATTTTCTTTTCTCTGGCTTACTTTATTGTAAGAATACAGCACACAATACATATAATATACAAAACCTGTGTTCATTGACTATTTATGTTATCAGTAAGGCTTCCGGTCAGAGGTAAGCTATTAGTAGTTAAGTTTTTTGGGGAATCAAAAGTTATACATGGGATTTTCGACTGTGTGAGAGGGTCAGTACCTCTAACTCCTGCGTTGCTCAAGGGTCAACTGGAATATATTTAATAAAGATATGTATGTGCGATGGAGCCGGTTAAAGTGAATTTGTTCAAGAGACAAAACTCTTTTCTGTCCTTCAGACAGAAAGCTGTGTTTGACAGTTGGGGCTGCATCCGCTAGAATCATATACTCTTTTTGGAGACTCAACAATAAAATTATTGCTCATTTACATCACTGTTATTTTCCCTTTTGGGATCCACAGGCACTGTGATATTCAAAGCTTTTATTTATTTTGTAGAGAAACACTGAATTTAGTTCTCTCAACTTGTCTGGTAGATGGACATTAAAATCAGTGCTATAAAGCTGTGTGGGCAGAGGCATAATAAACCGAGGCAAAATAGATCTTTATATTTCTTAGCAATACTCTTCTTTCATATGCTCATAAATGACCAAGCACATAAATCTTCTATTATAGAAGAATTGAACTTAATTACCATAGATTTGTTGGCAATACATTGGTTATAGGCTGAGTCTGAGTTGACTGTGTGTCCCTCATAGCACGGTGCCTCCTACCTTGATAAGTGAAGGTTTGCTGAATACATGAGGAGTTAAGGATATTTTTTGACACACCCTCCATGCTTCTTAGAATTGTCTTTATAGTTGCATTCTACACTAGGGTTCTAGACATCAAAATAAAAGCCATTAGCACAAAGCAGGCTACCTGTGTCCAGATTACACTAAGGCTTGGGAATATCTCCCCGAGTCCCCTGATGTGGAGCAGGGAAGGTCCAAGCTATGTGTCCAACTGTCTGAGATCCTTTTGTCCTTATAGGGGGAAGCATGCATCATGGGAGCAAAGAGGATATATAAGAAGCGAAAATCAGAGCGTAAGTGTATGCAAGGAAAATATGCAGGAGCTATGGAATCTGAACCCTGTGTCTGCACAGAGGCCGATTTTGACTGGTAAGCTTGTGCTATTACTCTGTGGAGTCATATCAAATTCACATGGGTCTTAGTGAAAGCTGAGATTTGAAATAATAGTAACATATACCTATGCTCTCACAAGCCTCATATTCTTGTGAAATTACCTCTTGAAGACAACATGGTTTATTAGCTATGTGCATATGTATATGGAAAAACTCGGAGTTTCTTTGGACTGAAAGAGGATTCACAAGATGGCTGATAATTAGCTTCACATATTTGCTAGATCTTAGGACAAAAAAAGAGACCACATCCACCCTGAGTTGCTTCAGACAACAACACTGAAAACAATAAGTTGACTTTTTAGACAGCAAATATATTTGTGCTCAAGGTAAACTCTTCCTAGATTCTGGGTTCCTCGTAGTGGAACAATCACCTTATAAGGCAGTAGATTTGCTGTCCCTGGAAGTTTTCAGTCAGTGGTTAGTTAGCTGATGATTGCTTGTGCAAGGTGTGGAAGACTTTTTTGACTTCAGTGCGAGGATTGATTCAGTGGCATTGGCAATCTGTGATTCTGTGGACCTGGTAGTACAGAAGACTTGTCCCTCTTGCAGGATTCAGCTAGTATAAGCTGGAAAGGACTAGACATTTGAGCGCCATAGCATTCTTTCTGAAGCCTTTGGTAAGCAGAAAGCTGGCCTGTGGGGTCAGTGCTTCCCTTGCTCCGTTCTAGGTTGGGGTTTGGCCTTCAGGTGAGGTTGGAAATGATTGAGGATAAGTAGGTGGTAACTCCTTGCATCATCTCCATCTCATTTAACGCCTTTTTTTCTTGTTTTCTTCCTTTTACTTTAAATTTATGTATATGTTTTTGTTTAGAGAAAGCAATTGCTGAATATATGTGTCAATGTTAAATGATTGAAACTTGACCCACATAAGAAAGCAGTCATTCTTTTAATATTGGATATCTGCCTGTATAGCAATCACAGATCACTTATCTGATCATCAAAATATCAGCGAGTGGGCTGAGATACTGTGTGCAATACACATCATATGGCTTAGAAAAAGTAAGTGTTCTCTCGTGGTAGACCTCTGGAGACATTCTCTGAATAAATAGTCCTATGCAGGCCTGCCAGAATCGGCCACCAGTCCTCAGTCTGATAACCCAAGGCTGTTCCCCTCTTGTTAGTCGACAAGGCAAGCCAAGAGCCAGTGCTGTATCTCTTGGGCTCAGCCAGAGGGCAACAGAACTTCAGTTACATTGGAGCTCACAAGGAATTCTGCAGGGGCCTTCCCAGCTGTAATTTCTGTTTTAGCCAGTGCACCATTATTAACAATGATAAAAGTATCCTATCCCTGCCCTGCCTTTCAGGATTGACACCCTGAAATGCAGTCACAGGGAAAACTTCCATGGAATTTTAAAGTCCTTCATCCCATCCCTCTTTCTGACTGCTTCTCCTTTATCCCCTCTGTTCAAGGAGAGTTTGTAAAGGAGGTTAACATTTTATCTTAGTCATTTAACTTCAGTCTTACCATATAGTCATGCTTTTGTAAAACACACATTTATGCTGGTAGAGAAGCAAAGAGAAAAAGTGAGATGAGACATCCGATTCCCCGATTTTTCCTGAAAATACTGTTTTGGGGAGACATCTTTTCTACAAGGTTCCAAAATAAGCTGGTCTTTTGTTGTTGTCATTGTCATGTGTTGTTTTTCTTTTCCAGTTTTAAGCTAGTCTAGAGTGAAAAGAACATGGGTAAGGGAGGCAATTAGACCTCTCCCTTCCCTTATCTCTCGCTCCCCTACAGTCTTGGCCCAATTCTTGTACTCATTTGTGATTGGAATCTGCTACTCATTCCGCTAACTGAAATGTATTCTGAGAAGTGGGTAATGAATCATAAATGAGGCCATTATAAGGTTTTCTGGTCAAATGGGATTTTTATTTAGTGCATGATTTCTAAAAATATTTTGGAAGACTCACCATGACCTTGTTGAGTCTCTACCTACAGTAGCTAGAGCTTCGGTGATTCTACTTGACTGCAGTGTAATAAAAGGTGGTTGTCACTAAATGTTCCCTCTCAGCGTGGCTGTCCCCTGGACAGTCCCCCACATGACCTTGCCTGCCATTCTTCAGCATTTGTAAAGTAATTCCCTGAAATGAACGCCGGGTGTCCTGTAGGCAGCATTTCTGAAGTCTTCCTATCCATGCTGTGTTGAACCAGCACCAAGTGCAGCTGATGTGTGCAGAATTCTAAGTGCCAGCTGCCTGGTGACAGGCCCCTTGGCTAAGCCTGTTTCTCCCTTCCTGCCCCTTGTGTGCCAGCATCTCACCTCCATTACACAGATGGGCCAATTCGTACTACTGCTTGCTGGTTACTGTCTGCGATTTGTCTATGCATGTGGAGGTGCAATTTGTTGTCATCCTCTGTGCCCAAGTTCGTCCTCCGGAAGCCAAGAGTATTAGGCCATGCAGAGGCCCCTGGAGGCAAGAAAGAGAGGGGACGGAGGATAGAGTCTTTGACTCTTTCCCAACTACAGAGGGGATTTAAACCAGTTAGTCCCAACTGACAATGCTAACTGACTGGGACAAAACTTTTCCTTGGGGGAGTGCCCGTGACACCCCTGAAGGACATTTCCTTTTGTGCTGTGACTCTGAAGCATATGGAGCGTGCACAGAGAGACCTGGCTCAGCTGTGCTTAGTAGATCCAGATGTCTTGAAAGAGCACCCCAAAGACATCACCGGTAATGAAATCGTGCCATGAGTGGCTGTGTTTGCTTCAGTGATGTGTGCACTGAGGCGTGAGCTCCCACCATTGCCTGCTTTCTAATTGCAGCTTTCTTGGGGCCCAGCCACCGTCAATATCATGGACTCTCCTCATGAGCACGTAATCTACTCTCTCAGCTTAAAGACGTTTACTTGGAATTATTGGTCATTGAGCCTCCGAGACGGCTTCTACACAGGCTTCTCTGTTGCTTTCACGTCAGCTTTTCTGGAAATGGGTCTCGTAGGATATTGTCATGGGTAATTAACTGATAGATATTCCACAGGGGAAAGAACAGTTGCATTTTTGGAAAGGTATTGATTTAGTGAATTCTTGTTTTTTGACTCATTGGCTAGAGTAGAAGTTGGCTGTGTGCTACCATGAAACTGTTCTCAGTAATTGTGCCACGTACTGAAAGGTCTCTCTTGGCTTTTTCCCCCACAGTGACTATGGGTATGAGCGACACAGCAATGGTCAGTGTCTGCCAGCATTTTGGTTCAATCCATCTTCTCTGTCAAAGGACTGCAGCTTGGGACAGAGTTATCTCAACAGTACTGGGTGAGTGTCTGAGGTGGTGACCTTGAGAGGTCAACCTCTGCTGTTTTTCAGCTGGTGTTAAACTTACAGAACCACGTCTGATCGAAGACCAGGCCTTTTTCATTACAGCACAATGCATTTGTTTTTGTTCATGTTAGTAATGCAGCCCAGATTTGTATTAATAGTGCAATTTTCATCTGAGAATAAGACTTCAGTTGCAAATAAAGAAACGAAACTGGTTCCTTAGATGAAGATGATGATGATAATCTATACATTTCTTCACTTTTTGATACTTCATTTCAGAACTATTTCTGTGAACTCCCTTTCCCCGCTCACTGCATCTCTGTGAAGGAGGCCAAATAAATATTTCATAGGTGCATTTCCTATTTTATAGATGCGGAAGATAGAGTGAACAAAAAAGCTCATTGACTTTTCAAGAGTACCCTGCTGTTAGTTGAAACGGGTTTCATTTTCTTCCTATGTCCAGTCTTGATATGTTTAAGGCATACATTCTGATCCTTATATATATAGAATCAGATTCTAAAAGTTTGTGTTTAATGTTTTGAGTTATAGGGCTTATCCAATATTATTTAAGAAATACCATAAAAGAGAAAACATTTTGTGACTTTTCCACAAGTGGAGTTGATGTTTATAGGCTTTAAAAATATTATGCGGAACTTATTTATTTTTTTTTAAAGATTTTATTTATTTATTTGACAGAGAGAGAGACAGCTAGAGAGGGGACACAAGCAGGGGGAGTGGGAGAGGGAGAAGCAGGCCTCCCGCTGAGCAGGGAGCCCGATGCGGGGCTCAATCTCAGGACCCTGGGATCATGACCTGAGCCGAAGGCAGACGCTTAACGACTGAGCCACCCAGGCACCCCTGCAGAACTTATTTTGATTCAAATTCAAGCAGTATATAAAAAGACATCTTTGAGCCATTTGGAGAAATGCAATATGGTCTGGTGATTAGGTAATGTATTAATCAGGGATCCCCAGAGAAAGAGAACCAATAGGAGATCATATAGATATATAGATATCTTATATATACGTGTGTGTGTGTATGTGTGTGTGTGTGTGTATATTCATTATAAGGAATTGGATCACATGATTATGGAAATGGCAAGTCCAAGTCCCAAAATCTGCGAAGTGCCTTGGCAATCTGGACGCCAAGGAGAGCTGATGGTTTGTTTGTAGTCCAAGTCTGAAGGCATGAGAACCAGGAGAGCTGATGGTATAGTTCTGTCTAAAGGCCAGAAGGCTCAAAACCTAGGAGGAGCCAGTGTTTCAGCATGAGTGTGAAGGCAGGAAAAAAGGCAAATTTCCAGTTTGAAGACAGTCAGGCAAAAAGAATTCCCTCTTGCTCAGGAAAGGGTAAGCCATTTTCTTCTGTTGAGACCTTTAACATATTAGACAAGGCCCATCCACATTGGGAGAGCAATCTGCTTTACTCTGTCTACTATTTTGAATGCTAAGCTTATCAGAAACAACCCTCACAGAATCACCCTGAATTATGTTTGACCAAATACCTGAGCACACATGGCCGAGTCAAATTGACACATAAACTTAACTATTACAGGTAATATTAGGTTATATCTAAGTATAAATATTTATATTTATTGTATTAACTAAATATAGTTATATATTTGTGTGTGATAATGGTATTTTGGATGACTAAAAAAAAAGAAAACTTATTATTTAATTAATTATTTATTTATTTGTCAGAGAGAGAGAGAGAGAGAGAAAGCATAAGCAGGGAGAGCAGCAGGGGGAGAGGGAGAAGCAGACTCCCTGCTGAGCAGGGAGCCCGATACCACAGGGGCTCAATCCCAGGATCCTGGGATCATGACCTGAGCCAAAGGCAGATGCTTAACTGACTGAGCCACCCAGGCATCCTGAAACCTTGTCTTTTAAAGATACATGATGTATGACGTTTGTTTTAAAATGTTAAAAAAACAGGTGTTGAAAATGTTTGAAAGTGAATTAATGGAGGGCAGGGGTATTTATTATACTCTTTCCTCTCATTTGTGTATATTTGAAAATCCTGATCTTAAAACATGAGAAAGAGAGGAACTAAGGAAGGGAGGTAGGAGGAAGGGGGACGCCTCACTAGCAGACCCGTCCCATTTGAAAATTGCTCTTCTCATTTCTCATGCCTGCTGCAGGACAGAGGTGAGGACATCCACATTTCCATTTGTGTGCTTCTGTATTTGAAATGTTTAAAAAGTTTTTTTTTTTTTAAGATTTTATTCATTTGAGACACAGAGATACAGAGAGAGAGAGAGCATGAGCAGGGGCAGAGAGAGAAGGAGAAGCAGCACCCCCCCTGAGCCAGGAGCCCAACGTGGGGCTCAATCCCAGGACCCTGGAATCACGACCTGAGCCGAAGGCAGACGCTCAACCATCTGAGCCACCCAGGTGCCCCTAAAAAGTTTTTTAATTAAGAAAAAATTACCATAATAGCATATACTACTCTTCTAAAGGAGGGAAACAACACAGACTTTTGTACCCTCAAATGTTCTTATCTCTGTGGTTAGGGATTCCTAGAACTTTTGTATATAGGAATAAGCCGTGACTTATTTGTACTATAACATAAAACCCGAGGAAAATACAAATGACATTTTTACAGCAGTGGGTCAGTGAGGCTTTCAGCATGCAGGACCATGGGAAACCAGAAAGGGGGCTGCTGAAATGAGTACACTTAATGGTGAAGGAGCGCCGGAGAACTGAGTTTTACTACTTACATGCACTAGCATGTTTAGACATTGTAAAGGGCACTGGGAACCCCTAATGCTAGTCTCTGAATTGTTGTTGTTGTTGTTGTTGTTTTTTCCACTAACTCAGTCAGTCAAGGAAGTTAGATCATTTTCTCTTTGGTATTGATGAGGGGAGGTCCTAGTACAGAGAGGTCTAAATTATTCCACATGCTACTCAAGTCACTGGAATAAGGCAGAGTGTAGGCAATGACCCTCATTCTTCAGTATATTGAGAATACACACACACGCACACACACACACACATTTTAGGCTACCCTTAAATAAGTTTCCCCATTCCTTTGGTAAACTTAGTATGTGAAATTCAAGTAAACCCTGACTCCTATAAAATAAAACATCAGAAATGATTAAATCATAATAAATTATCCAATGGGATTTCTTCATCTATGCCCTATAAAATTAAAATTTCAATTAAAAATGTGATTCAGCAGGGGCTCCTGGGTGGCTCAGTCAGTTAAGATGCTGCCTTCGGCTCAGGTCATGATCCTGGGGTCCTGGGATCGAGCCCCACGTCCAGCTCCCTGCTCAGCGGGGAGCCTGTTTCTCCCTCTCCCTCTGCCTGCCACTCTGCCTACTTGTGCTCTCTCTCTATCTGTTGAATAAATAAATAAAATCTTTTAAAAAAATGTGATTCGGCAATAAGTGTTCAGATAGATAAATGTTTGTCAATGCAGTGATGTTTATTAATCACAGAATCACAGGATTATTCCCTGGGGGCTCACCTCCACTCTCGGAGTGTTGTTCATATAAGTGGGTATTACATGATAGCGTCTGACCCAAAAAATTTTTTGTTAAGTTACCACATCTACTGGTTTCATCTGTTCCATTCAGACTTTTTCCAGAAAAGCATCCACAGCAGTGAGTGAGCTTGTGTAAAGAAGAGAGATAAATTCCAGCCATCAGCAGGGAGGATGAATGCCTTGCTCTCAAAAGCAAGGTGCTCACAGGTGGAGGAGTGATCACCCTCACAGGGCCCTGTGGGCTAAAGGTCGGGGGAAGGGTATGAATAGTAACCCCACCAATGGGCATATTGCCTCCCTATACATTCTGCATTAAGGACAAGAAGACCCTTAGCGGGTACAGGTGCCTGAAATCATCTTCAAAGAAGACTTCATCCCATCAAATTCCTATTTGTTGTGTTGCAGAAAACTCAAAAGTTGGCAAGAGGTAAAGTATAGATGAAATTGGAAAAGAATGCAATGTCCCTCCAGCCCTTCACCCCAGAAGCCCTTGGCTGTGTGTCGACTCAGTGGCATTTCATGAGCACAGACTCAGTTTTTAATGTTGTAAGCACTCTACTGCTGCCATTGAACGTTGAGCTTTTCACTTAAAAATATTTAATTATGAAAGAAATATATACATATGTTTTCTGTTTAAAAAACCAATTTAGGGGCGCCTGGGTGGCTCAGTCATTAAGCGTCTGCCTTCGGCTCAGGTCATGGTCCCAGGGTCGTGGGATGGAGCCCTGCATCGGGCTCCCTGCTCGGCAGGAAGTCTGCTTCTCCCTCTCCCACTCCCCCTGCTTGTGTTCCCTCTCTCTGTCAAATAAATAAATCTTTAAAAAAACAATTTAGATCATCACTCCCTATCCTGCCCCCTTTTCCTGCACAACTGTGATCTCTTTGGTATGCATGCTTCCAGACACTTCGCATTTTTTTTTTAAGATTTTATTTATTTATTTGACAGAGAGAGACACAGCGAGAGAGGGAACACAAGCAGGGGGAGTGGGAGAGGGAGAAGCAGGCTTCCCGCCGAGCAGGGAGTCTGATGCGGGGCTCGATCCCAGGACCCTGGGATCATGACCTGAGCCAAAGGCAGATGCTTAACGACTGAGCCACCCAGGCGCCCCCAGACACTTTGCATTTGCCAGCAATAATTATGCTGAGAAAACTATACAAAATTAATTTGGGAGGTTGTTCTTACATTTCATTTCCTACTAGATATATTATTTTTCTATTTTGCTTTTCATTCAGAAATATGTCTTAAACAACTTTGTAAGACAGAGTATATAGGGCTATCTTCCATCTAATTTCTTTTAATTTGAGAGTATTAAAGCACCTGGTATTGCTTCGTCATCCCCTGTCATGGACATTTGGGTTATTTTCTATTTTTACTTGCTATAAACATTGTTGCAGTTAACATCCTCATACCATAATAATTGTTATAAAAACACACAAAGATAACTGGATTCTCTTTTGGCAATTAGAAGTGTTTCTGCTAACTTGTAAAGCAAATCCCACCCAGCCAA